ATAGCAGACAATGTGGGTACATGGAGAGATGAGAGATTAGGGTCTTCTGGCTGCTTAATGGGATAGGGTGGGGCATGGAGGCAGCTTCTTCATGCATGAGCTCAGTGTTCCTCGTTGTAATGTGCACTAGGTTGGACTTACGGTCCTATTCTAATCCCACATTAGACTCACCGCTTACACAACATATTTTTAGTTAGTTTAATTTTTTTCTCAAGAGCAGACTTGGCTCTGAGAGCTCTGGGATGCCTTTATTTATTGGATGGAAAAGAAGAAAGAGGAAGGAAGGAAGGAAGGAAAGAAGGAAGGAAGGAAGGGAGGAAGGAAACCAGTCAGACACAGATGTGCTGCCTTATGATTGTGACCTCACCCCCAGCAACCAGTCACATCCTTACAAGTTGGGAAAGGAGCAGGCTGTCTCATGACAAGGCTATAATTCACTGCTCAGGCTCAAACTAGCTTAGGACACCGTCTAGCTCAGCTTCATTCTTGGTATGGTCTGAAAATTAGGACGGACCAGCACAGCCCTTCCTGGGATATAAGAAGTACTTTCTCCACCCTAACAAAGTCCTAGGTCAGACATGTCCAGGAATTATGCACAGCCACTTGATATTTTCACACAGATATTTTTTATTTATTTTTAGAGTTTGTTTTATTTATCTTTTTTCCTGTATTCATTAAGGTCTTACTTATTGCCCCTGTGTCCTTATTTCCCCATTGCCCCCTCCCCCCCACTGGTGTCCTCACCCCCTCTAGTGTCTGTGTCCATTGGATAGGCTTATATGCATGCATACAAGTCCTTTGGTTGATCTCACCCCCTTATCCCCGCCCTCCCCTGCCTTTCCTCTGTGTTTGGAAGGTCTGATCCATGCTTCTCTGTCTCTGGATCTGTTCATCAGTTTATGTTGTTTATTATATTCCACAAATGAGTGAATTCATGTGATATTTATATTTCTCTGACTGACTTATTTCCCTTAGCATAATGCTCACCAGTCCAGGTCCATCCATGCTGTTGCAAATGGTAGGAGTTCCTTCCTTTTTACAGCAGCATAGTATTCCATCATGTAGATGTACCACCATTTGTTTTGTTTGTCTAAAGTTTTACATATGTCTCCTTTTCCCCCAATTAACCCCTTCCCCCATCCCTTTTTTGCCCGGGCAAGCCCCCACCGCCCCAGTGTCTGTGTCCATAGATTATGTTAATATGCATGCATATAAGTCCTTTGGTTGCTCTCTAACCACCCCCCTTCCCTACCATTTGTCTCTAGATTGATCTATTCTTGTTCATCAAATTATGTTGATCATTATATCCCACATATGAGTGAGATCATGTGATATTTATCTTTCTCTGACTGGCTTATTTTGCTTAGCATAATGCCCTCCAGTTCCATCCATGTTGTTGCAAATCATAAAAGTTCCTTCTTTTTAATAGCAGCATAGTATTCCATTGTGTAGATGTACCACAGTTTTTTAATATACTTATCTGCTGATGGGCACTTAGGCTGTTTCCAAATCTTAGCTATTGTAAATTGTGCTGCTATGAACATAGGGGTGCATATATCCATCCTGATTGGTTTTTCTAGTTTCTTGGAATATATTCCTAGAAGTGGGATCACTGGGTCAAATTTTGGTAAAACTCCCCTGTGAAGCCGTCTGGTCCAGGGCTTTTGTTTGCTGAAAGGGTTTTGATGACTGCTTCAATTTCCTTCATAATTATTGGCCTATTGCGATTTTTAAATTCATCCTGATTGAGTTTTGGAAGGTTGCTTTTTTCTGGGAATATGTCCATTTCCTTTAGGTTGTCTAGTTTGTTGGACTACAGTTGTTCATAGTATTTTTTTTTACAATCCTTTGTATTTCTGTAGGGTCTATTGTTATTTCGCCTCTATCATTTCTGATTTTGTTTATTTGGGTCCTCTCTCTTTGTTTCTTGGTGAGCCAGGCTAGAGGTTCATCAATCTTGTTTATTCTTTCAAAGAACCAGCTCTTGTTTTCATTGATCTTTTGTATTGTTTTTTTTTTTGGTCTCTATGTCATTTATTTCTGCTCTGATCTTTACTGGTATTATATCCTTCCTTCTGTTCTCTCTGTGCTTTTCTTGTTACTCACTTTCTAATTCTTTAATTTGTAGAGTTAGATAATCTATTACCAGTTTGACATGTTTTTTTTGTGTGTGTGTGTTTGTTTTTTTTTTGAGGTAGGCCTGTTGAGCTATAAACTTCCCTCTCACAATTGTTTTCATTGTGTCCATAGATTTTGGGTTGTATTTTCATTGTCATTTGTTTCTAGAATGATTTTATTTATTCTTTGATCTCTTTGGTAATCCAATGATTGTTTAATATCAAGCTATTCAGCCTCCAAGTGTTTGAATTTTTTTATTGTTTTTATTATAGTTTATTTCTAATATTATGCCATTGTGGTCTGAGAAAATGCTTGATATGATTTTAATCTTCTTGAATTTGGAGAGACTTTGCCTGTGACCCAATATGTGGTCTATCTTTGAAAATGTCCCATGTGTACTTGAGAAGAACGTATATTTCGTGGCTTTGGAGAGAAATGTTCTGATGATGTCAATTAATTCCATCTGATCTAGTGAGTTATTTAGGATTGGTATTTCTTTGCTGATTTTTTGTCAAGAGGATTTATCCAGTGATGTCAGTGGGGTATTAAAGTCCCCTACTATGATTGTATTGTTATTGATCTCTTCCTTGATATCGTCCAAGAGTTTTTTATGTGTTTGGGTGTTCCTGCATTGGGTGCATATATGTTTACCAGGGTTTTATCCTCTTGTTGTATCAATCCCTTTAGTATTATGAAGTGGCCTCCCTATCTCTTGTAATGGCATTCACTTTGAGGCCTATTTTGTCAGATATAAGTATTGCTACCTCAGCTTTCTTTTTTTAGTTCCATTTTGCCTGAAAGATATTTTGCCATCCCTTTGCTTTCAGTCCGTATGAGTCCCATGTTCTGAGGTGGGTATCTTGTAGACAGCATAGATGTGGGTCATGTTTTCTTATCCACTCAGCCACTCAGATATCTTTTGATTGAAGCGTTTAGTCCATTTACTTTTAAAGTTATTATTGATGGGTTCTTGTGTGTAGCCATTTTTATTTTTGCCCGTGTTCCTTCTTCCTTCTTTATTTCTTCTTTTTAAACCAGGCCCTTCAGCATTTCTTGCATTGCTGGCTTGGTAGTGATAAACTCCCTTAGCATTTTTTTTTTTTTTTTCTGTGAAGCTTCCTATTTCCCCTTCAATTTTGAATGATATCCTTGCTGGATAGAGTATTCTTAGATTCAGTCCCATGCTTTGCATCACTTTGTAAATTTCCTTTCATTCCTTTCTGGCCTGATGTGTTTCTGTTGAGAAATCATTTGATACTTTAATGGGGGATCCCTTATAAGTAACTTTCTGTCTCTCTCTTGCAGCCTTTAAGATTCTCTTGGTCCTGAATGTTTGCCATTGTAATTACATTGAGTCTTGGTGTGGGTCTTTTCGGGTTCATATTGTTTGGGACTCTCTCTACTTGTGTGACTTTTTTCTTCCCTAAATCAGGGAAGTTTTCTGACATTATTACTTCGAATAGTTTTTCTAACCCTTGTTCGTCTTCTTGTCACTCTGGCACCCCTATTATTCGTATGTTGCTTTGTTTCATGCTGTCCCAAAGCTCTCCTAGGCTCCCCTCCTGGCCTTTAATTTTTTTCTCCAATTGCAGTTCATTTTGGGCTTGTTTTACCGCCCTGTCTTCTAATTTGCTAATTCAGTTCTCTGCTCCTCCTAGTCCACTGTTGATACTTTCCATAGTGTTTTTTATTGTAGCTATATCACCCTTTATTTCCTCTAGAGTCTTACATAAGTTGTTGATTTTTTTTAATCACAAGGATATTTTTTTAATATATTTTATTGATTTCTTACAGAGAGGAAGGGAGAGGGATAGAGAGTTAGAAACATTGATGAGAGAGAAACATCGATCGGCTGCCTCCTGCACACTCCCTATTGGGTATGTGCCTGCAACCAAGGTACATGCCCTTGACCGGAATCGAACCTGGGACCCTTCAGTCCCCAGGCCAATGCTCCATCCACTGAGCCAAACCAGCCAGGGCCACAAGGATATTTTTAAGAGGACATAGTGGATACAAAAATAGGAAGACTTCTTGTTATTCTTTATCGACAGTTTTATTAATATATACTTTTTATTGGCTTATAACATCAATCTACTTTTAAATTTTGATGCACACTTCATTTTGAAAAACAAAATGAATATCACATGACTCAGTTTCGCTAAACAGGGAATGGCTGTAAAACTTTATGACCAAAAGGATTTTGAGAACTTCTAAGAAAAGAGAAAAATCAAAAGCTGTTTCTCTTCTGGAACCCCAAACTCCTTCAGTCCCTTCAATATCATAAATAGATATTACATTTTATTGGTCTGTCGTATGTCAAACCAAATTGTCCAGCTAAATCCTCAGATTGTGATGAATACTAGTCATACTCATCACTAGTTCTATAGTTGTCCTCAGAAACGAGGACCACGAGACAGAGAGGCATGAAACCTATGGCTTAATATATCTTGGCTTTGTCCCCAGGTCGCTCTTGTCCCAGGCAGGTCCTTCCTCAGCTTCCACCTCACTATCCTCTAAGCAGCTGGTTAAAACTCAGGGGTGGGGACAGGATATTCACATGAGGTGATGGCTTTGCTCCTCAGGGGTGACCCTGGCATAGGGTAGAGCCACTTAACTGCATTACAAGATGTGGCTGCCCAGCACCAGCAATAACATTCAGTCTGAGGTCCTCACAGCATTGGGAACACTTTAGCCCTTGCAGAGATACACTGCAAGCATAGAACCAAAAAAAAGATGAATTTTTTACTGCAGGGCTTGGCCTATGCTTACTGTGCCAGAAATAAAGTAAAACACTCCCATTGTCCTAAGATCATGGGTGCTTTGCACAACTCTGCTCCAGTGAATAGCATTGTAAGCTTATTTCTACTGGGATGTTCTTCTAGGTTTGCAGGTTGCCATGGCATCTAGACCCAACATGACGGCCCCCATTTGCCTGGTGGAAAACAACAATGAGCAGCTGTCAGTGAATCAGAAAGCTCTAGAGATTCTTGGCCAGATTTCTCAGCCAGTGGTGGTCGTGGCCATTGTAGGACTGTATCGTACAGGCAAATCCTACTTGATGAATCGGCTTGCAGGGCAGAATCACGGTGAGTGGTGTCTCAGGTAGAGGACAATGCTTTGACTCCAGCTTTATCACAGTTTCATAGTTTTCTTCACTAGTCACATAAAGAAAGGGCTAAATTCCTTTCAATAAACCAACCTTCTAATTCTAATTCTTACTAATAAATTATGACCTTAATTAGTGTTA